CAGGCCTCAGCGCCAGTAATCCACCCCGAGACTTGCCAGCTAAAACGTTGGGACAGCGTCGTTTGGCATAAAACCGCCTCTTCCATCCCCGAACGTCGCTGGATAGCCGAATGTCTCTGAAAAAGTCACGCGGCAAAAAGCACACAAGCTCATGTACAAGCTGTCATGGTGTTGGTTAGAAAAGCTCTGGACATCCAGCCTTTAGCCGATAGCACAAAGCTCTGGCTTCATTCTGAGGCTGCTGCCCAATCAACAGTGACAGGGAAATGCTCGGCCGGAATCTGGTTGAGCCTCGCAAAACTGTTGTGCCGCCATGCATGTAAAACAGCCAAAGGCTGCTTGGCTAATACTTTAGTAATACTAATAAAGGACTGCAGCCTATTAAACATGTTAAGGGGCAGCGCGCCCTTAGAGGTGCCAACAGGTGTCACAAAAGCGTTCTCAAGGTGTTCCAACAATCTAGGATCTTCGGAAGCTGCTATGGATTTCTTTTCTTCCCCACACCTTTGGCACTCAGTTCCGGGCAAATGCCGCGTCACTGAGAGCAGCATGTGGGACACCAAGTCAGGCTTCTCACCTGGGTGCTGATCCAGCTCGGTGAGCTGCGATGTCCAAATCTCACGCGACCGGGGTCAGCTCCGACGCGTCTCCGTCTTCGACGCCCGCTCGGGCGCCCCAGCTGTGGTAGACTAAGTGCTCAGCGCCTGAGACTCGGAGGCCTCGGCTGCAGAGGGCGATGGGTCCCGTTCCGTCGTTCCGTCAGAAACGAAGGCAGGAGCGCCGCAGTGGAGCGGCGCGGTTGAGTCGCAGACCTCGTTTGCCGATCTCTTCGTTGGCAAGCTTGCCAGTGACCTTGAGAGGATGGAAAAACAAGTTAAAAAGATGCAGAATCCTTTCAGCCTCATCTTTTAGCACACATGGAAAGCCTGTCGTGTGCGCCCTTTAACATGATAGGCACCCACTGAAAGCATATTCATGGGCAAACACAAGCGTCCTTGCCACAAGTGAATATTGATTGAATTGTTAAAGACCTCGCTTCTTAACTTCTCTATTGCTTCTTCTTATCGTCTATACGAGAATCTCTAAGAGTCTGAACAAAGATTCGGAAGACCCCTTGAGGAAACTCAAAAATGCCTCGTAACTGTCTGAGGAATGTGGCATGCACCAAGCCAATGGTTCGCTGCATCGACGCCTGAAGCTGCTGAAATAGACTGCATTGCGGCCAGGAAAGGGGCTAGGTCCATGATCACAAGAGCTTGAACATGTAAAGGCAAGCTGAGGACGACTTTGCGGGCTGTTGCCATACAGGAGAAAAGACAACAAATAGATAGATACCAAATAAACGTGCGAAAAGAACGGTTCCAATGTGTGGAATGAGCATCAATCAGCAGTGCAAAAACACAACGCCCTTTGTCACAGCCTTCACCTGCGACAAAACCTCCTGGATTTCTGCTGGCCTCAGTAAAATATCTATGCTGATGTGCCCTGTGATCTCGTCGTTCAGCTGCATTTCGGTGAGAATTCTGACAATCAAACCCTCAGACTCCAGCATCTCTAGCGTCTCGCTATCCAGTCTTCAAGTCTTCAAATAGATTAGGGTTGTTGCTGTTCTTTGTCACTCTATATATATATATATATCCAGAAATTGCTCAAGGTTCGGGCAAATGGCGCCACCACCTTGCATGAAATGCCATGGTTGAAAATGTGATAGTTGCTGGGACTTGAACACACAAACGGCGTTGAAACCAGTTTTGGAAGCAATTCAAGAAACATCAGGTTGCATCAAACTGGTTTCACTTCATCTGTTTCTCAACAAGAGTAGCTCACTACAGTAGCTGTCACGAACAATTAAGCTCCTCTCTTACCTCTGTGCAGCTAAGAGGCGGATGAATGTAGTGGCGAATCTCACCGGCAGCCATGTAGAAGGCTGTCAAAAGCCTCAAAACTTTTATTCACAAAAGGCTCTACAAGTTCTGAGCGAATCAACAAAACAGCTGATGTTTTACTTGTCCCCAGCTGGTAGCTCAAGCTAGTGCTACCTTGCCACAGTGTGTAACGAAGCCGCATCCCAATCAACACAGGGTTCCGTGCGTGCTCATGCGCTTGTCAGCATCAGCTTTCTGCTTCCTGACATTCTCTAGCGAATGGGTAAAATCTCTGAATGATAGGAAATACCTCTGGTTCATGACATGAAAATGACTTGTTGCAAACTCTCCACCATCTCATGCATGATGGCTCGAAAGCCTGCTAAATTATGCTAAAGGTCAGCGCTGTCCAGCCTACTGCTTAGATGTTCACTTGTTCTACTACCTGCTGCTGCTGCTGAGCAATATCTCAACAGTTGATGTCAGGTCAGGATTTTCTGTCCTCATCTGCACAACTTTGTGATACTCTGAATGTCTCCTCCAATTCCGTTGGATCCTCAGATGGCTTTTGCAATCACGATGTGGGGAAAACAGCATATTGCACAATGCTTTTGACCAACAACCTGAGGAGGCCAGCAAAACTGTTTGAGCATGCTTTAGCTTCCGAAAAAGGAAAAACAGAGCCAAACACAAAGAGGCAGTGAGTGGAATTCACAAACAATCCACAACAGTATCTTCAAGATGTCATGCCGAATGCGCTTGTCCCACATAATCCAAACCCAACCTTCGAAAGCATTCATTCCATCCCTTTCAAACCTGTCCCTTCCCCTCTCTCTACCTCTACTCCTTCTACTCCTCAGCTCTTCTTATATTCTCCTCAACTCTTCTCCCTTCTTCTCGTGCCTCTGTTCGTTTGTCCAGTCTCCGCATCCCCTCGCTGCTTCCACTCTTTGAGGAGCGGAAGCCGTCGTTCCACCGCACGCACCGGGCCCATCTAGGTTCCCGAACAGAACGGCAGCCGAGCCTTCAAGCTTTGAGCGAATCAGCTCAAGGAACCGCTGCCTAGGGAGGGTGCGTTCAGGGTGCAATGTCAAGAGCAATCTCAGCATGTCCTTGGACTTGTTCCTTCAAACCCAAAATCTGTGAAGTAACAGGTTGCAATACAAGCAGTGGTGGCTATGCCACTTCTGGTTGTTCGTTCAACTGCAGGTTTGTTTGGTGGCACAGAAGGAATCATGACTCTCGCCGCTCTTCTACAACAGTCTAAGTCTAAGTGGCTCTGCCCCTTACAAACAAATCACTGGTCCCATTGGATCCCATCGGCGCTGTCTGTACCCGCTTGCTCGCTTGAAAAAGAGAAACAGCTTGCCCCGTTGGTCATATGCATGGTGGTCTTTTTTGGACAGACCCACCTGCTGGCACCCGACAAACCTACCAAGAACAGGTTCGACTCAACCTCCCACATGTGTATGTGTGTGTGCCTGGTGAAACGCACCGACGCGAGGCGAGGGTCCACGGGCCCACGGCTTCAGCCGGCTTCGGACCAGTGGCCGCACGGTCTCCATTTTGTCGTAAAGGATGACTTTCACGTCCAGCCTGGGCGCAACTTTACCCCAAAACAGCTCGCCTGACTCCACATCCCAAAAGAAGGCAAAGGCTAAATAGAGGGTATCATCGGAGTATGCAAATCGCCTCTCAGCAACCCCCTCAGTACCTTCACTGCCTTAGATTGTCTTAGCTGTTTCTCTTCCTCTCTCCTGAGACCACCGAGCTGTGACTGAAAACGCCGCCAATTCCGCTGCAGCATGACCACCTTGGAGCACGCTATGCAAAAAAAGTCGCCGAAACTGAGCGAGTCATGATACATCAAACGTGTCCTAAGGACAGCGGAATGAACTCTTGTTTCCAGGTTTGGGTCTACTGTACCTCTTTCAATGAACCTCAGCCTTCTGACAGGTTTGTGGTCAGAATCCGCACCTGACCAAAAACGCGTCAGCGTTTCTCTGAGGGAACCGCAGACGTCAATCTCTTAGCCGTCATCTTTCTCGCCTGCCACAGTGACGACTCCAAGCGGTGCACAACTGAGCCTTTTCGACTCCAACTGACTTGTCATGGCCACTTGAGAATTGCGGTCTCGTTCTGAGCACTTCTTCTGCTCCCATCCAACCCACTTCATGGATTATGTACATCAGATCGACCCGCACTGCCTGATATCCATTCCAATGTGCTTGGACCTGGCAGTCAAACTGCTGCAAGTCGCTCCGTGTGCCACACCAGAAACAACCACAGCAAGAAACATCACTGTCATCACCCACTCGTTGTCCTTTCTGAAAGAGTCCCATGATAGTACGGCTGCACCCGCCCTATCCACACTCGCTGCCGGACCACATTTGACACACATTTGCACTCAGTGCATTTGCATCTCCAAAATGCTCTCATTTATGATGCAACGAAAGCCCGTCCCCATCAATGAATCAACAACCATGAAACATCAGTTTCGACATCCTGCGAATGCCCAAACCGCACATATGCTGCAGCCCGATGTTGATGCCGCATCTGCTCCCGCAAAGCCACACCACGGGCCATAGCTGCGGCAAAGATGCGGTTCAAACAAAGAAAAGAAGTTGAGGGAAATGATGGAAAATGAGAAAAACTACGAGACTTCAAAGACCTTTTAGTAAGTGAACAGGCCCAAATGTTCAGCACTTCTTCACTTCTTCAGAGTTCTGCTTCTAGCTTGGGAGATATTAGAGCCCTTCGGTTTGAGAAAAATTCATGGAATCTGGAATTATGAATGTGAAGCATGAAATATCGCTCAAAAATCTCCCATACAGTATACACACTCAATGTATATATTCTGCATACTTTTTCATACAGCGCCTTGCAGCAAAGCTGGGCAAACAAAAGAACAAGTAACAACGCTTCGCCGCTCGCCTTGGATCTTCATCGCCGCCTGGATACCAAACGCAACACGAAACGGTGTGGTCAAACGGAACAGAGACGGTACACGAAACGACCGTCCTGCCGTCCAATCATGAATCATGAAGTCCGATGTCCTCTGAACTGAGACTAAGCATCTCCAGGACATGTACTAGTAGCGATGGCCTCCAACCTAGTGGCATCTTCAGGACATCTTCAGGGCTGCTCCAAGGGGTAGACTCCATGGCCCCAACGGACTCTCATTTCACATCGGGCCTGTCTCATTTCTCTCATCGGCCGGCGTCCATAGAGGCGACCCCGGTAGGTGCGCTGAATCGTCCTTGGTCGCTTTCAGCCAATCCAACCTACGCTGTAAGACGATGTTGGGCAGATTCGACTCAGGTTCCAGCACACCGGCAGTCACAATGACATTGTGACGACGCCTTGCGCCATTTCAGGCCAAGTCCCCACATCTGTTCCAATCCCTGCGTCAGCGACCCTCCCCAAAATAAAATAAACACGCTTCGCATCGTTTCAGGATGCAGGCCTTGTCAGGGTTCCCTTCCACTTCGCCTGGAAGCGAGTGATGTCCAGCATCCTGAAACGGATCAGACGCAGCCAGACAACCTTCCCATGTATATTGTATTATACACTAGTGTCATGCTATGTATTCAACATTCGTCTTGCGCAAACCCCTTCCTAAATGCTGATTTGTAGTATCTCAGGGGGTATGCCCGAGAAACATGTCAAATTGTTGCTGGATGTTGCTGGATACATACATATGCAGCAAGCAGTTGCATGTGGAACATTAGCCGTCATGAGCCTATCCAATATCTCACCAAACATGTGATAGTGTGCTATCCTTCCTGGATTCCTTCAAGACCAGGCAGCACTTTGGCAAAACCACTTGAGCTTTGGACGTCTTGTAGTGTTCGCATCTCACCACGTAGCCTCTCCACTGTGCTTGGAATCGCGTGACCTCGGAGGCGCTTGGAATCGGGAGGGTTCTGCATTGACCAGCGAGCCGTGCATTGAAAATGAGGTTCAAAAAAAAGAGACTTGGAAATAACCTTTCAGAATGAGGTTCTCCAATGTTCTGCAAATAAGCTTTCATTCTGCTCTGCAAATACCCTTGGAAATTGGAGGATCTGAGACTGGGGCCCGATGGAGAAGCTTTTCGTGCTTCTCCACAGATTGGTATCTCATGTACCAGCCTCGCGAAAGCTCGCTCCAGAAAGCTTGCGCTTTGCCTTAAATCTTATATAACTCAAATTTAACTTAGATCAACCTCTATACCGTACACAAATGGCTGGTAATCCAAAACCCTTTGACATGAAAAATCCCATGTTTGACATGCGCACCCTTTCATCCAACTGATACTTGGAACCTGGAAGGCTGTTTGAGATAAGACTCCTGCAATCGACAGTCATGTCTCTTGGCAAGACTTGTTGAGGAAAGGATTGTGACACAGGAAAGTCGGCGCAGTGTGGCTAGATTTCTCCACAAAATCGAAAGTCCGATTTTGTCGCCTTTGAGAAGCTGAAGGTTTCTCGCGGTCTCCGTCTTCACCTTCCTTACGTCCCACCTCAAGACATCGAATACAAGAAGCTACGTTTGGAGCAAGGACGCTACTAGGGGCGCTCCTGGCCTTACTACTAGGAGCAAGAAGCTATTAGGAGCATGTTCTGGGGTGTCCGTGGTGGGACACGCCGTCCGCCCGACCGTGTTCTTCTCAAGTCCGTGTTCACCGACTCTGAGCGTCAGACATCCTTTTGCTTTTTTGGATAACCTTTGCAGCCTGATAGTAAGTTCATGTAAATTCACCTAAATTCTACTGCACGGCTTTCTGGTGTAGACAGTGGACAGTCACTACTTTACAGCGTCTGCAATCTCAGCCTCATGAGGAGCCGTACAGCTTTGCAAAGATTGACAAAAGCTCTTCCTGCCTTCAGCTCCTTCTGAATGCGCTTGCGTGTGATGGCACCTCGAATATTCTTCTGCAGTAGCGCGATGGCTTTTTGCTCATGGGCTTTGGACCTAGGGTTCTGCAAAGGCGCGGCATTCAGTGACACACCAAATAGGTTCTGCAGCTGAACAGCAGTTCCCATCTATGCTGCACGAGTAAAAGGGCCGACTAAGCCGGAAGGCATAATATGCGACGGGTCATCTGCAATCACGTCATTTCGGAAGTTGTAGTAGTATCCTGCGCCACGACCCGCTTGTGTTCAAGCAAGCCTTAAAGGAGTCTTCTGAGCAGTACAATATACCAATATTTATAACATGTATTGTATGTCCGATATCCAATGCCTTTAGTTTCCGGTTTTGTTTCTTTCCTTACCGGCGGACCTCAAAGAATTTGTTTTTGGTTGACTAAAAGCAATCAAAACAAGAATAGCAAAGGCTATTATGTTTGGAACCAATGGGGAGGTTGGAGCAATCAAAAGGAAAACTCAGGCCCAATGCAGCGCGGATATGTCACAGTTGCTGCTAAAACTCTGGAACTGATTTGATCCAACGAACCAGCCTAGCAAAAGAGGTACCCGTTTATTCTTTAGCAATGGTCTCTTTTATCGGTGTGACTGCAGATCGGATGTGAAGCCTTCCGCAGTTGGTGCCAGCCGCGGTGGTTTCAAACCTTGCGGTTGTCAGTGTCGGTTTCGTGGCTGGAGAAACTGCGACAAAGTGCAATTTGTCGTGCATAAAAAAAGAAAGGACGATGAGACTGTTTTCAGAACTAACTCATACGGAGATTGAGGTCAGCCAGCTCTTGCTGTGCAATTGTCAAAACAGTTCATATGACAATTGAACTCTTACAGTACCATATGTATATATATAATTAGTAATATTACTAATTATATATATATTATACATAATATAGTCTTACTTCATCCTGGGCAAGGGGCGCTTCAAAAACCAATGCTTCTCTGGGGCTTGCAAAAGCGCAGCCTCAAAGGTATCGGCCTCGGACATGATAACTACACTCGACCGGCAATTACTTGGCGCTCAAAGGATAATCAAAACAAGTAATACCAAACAAAACAAGGGGTCTAGCCCTGACTCACATAGTTCATGTGGATGCTGAAGTGTTAACCTTGGAGTACTCTGCCTAGAGCTTGTCCCTTTCGCTTTCCTTCAAAAGACAAATGTCTGTCTGGTACACTCCAGCGACCCATTATGATGTGCCTGCCTTGGAACGTCCTCCCAGGTGCGCGGGCACGCGAGCATGTGCGTGCGTGTAACCCTCAGAGTCAGAGGAAGCCTTTCGGCTCTTCTGGGTTTTGCTGTTAAAAAGCGGGGGGACAGAGCTCTCTGATGCTACTCTGTCCAATGAAGCTATGCATCAGAGAGGAAAGCATCCACTGGCCATGGATGTGCACCTGCACTTCCTACGCTACTGAGCGATTCTTTTGTCTCGCTTGTAGACCGGAGGAATTTTCATTCCGCTATGAGACGAAGTTCGTCTCGCTCGCTATACCAGGAGGCTTTTCATAAATTTTCTCTTGCTTGCCCTAAGACAACACGAGGCTTGCCATTAATTGACTTACCTACCTATACTATCGATCGGTTCAATCGTCTCGCTCGCCGACTGGAGACACGCAGGATTTGCAGCATGTGCGATTTGATGCTTTGCACCCGGTACCCTTGAAACTTTGACCTGTGGATGTTTTGGTGTTGGGATTTGATAACACCTGCTTTTCCAGGCCTCTTTCATACTAAGGTTTCCTTGCGGCATGGGCCTTTACATCGTACTCATTGTATCTCGAGTGTGTGTGTGTGTGCGCACGTGGCCCAGATCCCAGCAGTGCGCAAACTGAGCTCCTGTACATGGAAGAAGAGCCATGTGTCTCCACTTCTGGAACCATTCCGATCTGACCTCAGCGTTCTAGAGTTCTAGATGTATCGTGGTCCGGGCTTCATTAATGTTGACTGTTGATTGGCTATTTTTTCAAAAAAGAAACATATGAAGGTGTTTAACCATCCAGGAATCACGGCAGCTCTTTATTGATCAATGATTCTTTTTTGTGAGTCAAGAGTTATCCAGGGATCACTAGGTGAATATACATTTAGGCGGCATGGTGCTGTTGGTTTCTTGGTGCTCCTAGGCTGTGCAATAAGCCACCATCCATGTCAGTATATTGACAGCCCCGAGTGCACGGACTGGTTGTCCCGCGCCAGAAACCGTCGGCGCATGGAGAATCCAACGTTCAGCAAGGGCAAGTGATCGTGCATTCTCGCTGCCTGGAACGGAAGAGTCTAATGGAACCCCTAGTAGCTTCTTGTTCCTAGTAGCGTCCTTGCTCCTAGTAGTACGGCCAGGAGCCCCTAGTAGCGTCCTTGCTCCTAGTAGCGATGCCAGGAGCCCCTAGTAGCGTCCTATACTTGGAAGAGTCTAATGTGTGTGATATACTTGGTATGCTTCAAGGAGCCAATCGCCGACAACTGTCCACCCTGCCTCTGACGCTGTAAGGTATCTACAGCCAGGAATAGGAGAAGGCCAATGCTTTTTGCCACGTGCAGACCTCACAGCCCGGAGAGGCCTTTTCCACTAAGAGATGCGCTGCTGCTCGGAAAAATGTCACCACACCTCTCATCTTCTACCGACCTGTCGCCACATCCGGCTGAGGGCGTAGCTTGTGAGACGATAGAAAGCAAGTGGCGCAGAAGTAATCTGTACCTCTTCAGGTCAACATGTTCTAAACACCTGGCGACGGTCCTTGGACCCGTGTCCCATGCGACGGTCGGACCCCATCTTCCCGATCCCGGGAGGTGAAGGGCACACTGCTGGCACCAAACAATTGCATCTGGAATGCCACACCTGGACGCTGTATCCTCCCCCGGTTCCAGCAGAAGAGAATCTGGTCGTCTAAGCGCAGAGAATCTGGTCTAAGCTTGAAACACCGATGGAGCACAAAACGTGATGCACTTTGGTTGCCTGTTGGGCTCAACAATACATGCCAGGTGAGCTCGCTACACTTCATCTGCACAAATCCACGATACCTTGGAAGTTCAAAGTTGAATGGGAGAGATACAGCCAGGCAGCTGAGTCAACTGAGAACCAGCCGGTAAACTTGAGCAAGGTTGGCTTGTCAGGAACGTCAATTTGAAAGGCGAGTCCCGTTGACTTGCCTTGAAGAAGCAGTACAGCTCAATAGATACAGATTGACTAAGTGAGCTGCTCCCAGAGGAACTCATTTTGTCGAGTGTCCTGGAGGGCTCCGGACTCAATTGAACTTTCCATCTTGACAAGACAACAGAAGCTACGACGCGAAGGGATGTCAGCCACAAAATCGTCCTCAAGGTGTTCACGAAAGCGCCTGCAGCAAGGTACACTGTAGGTCATGCTGTCTTGGTTCTTAGAAGCGCAAGGGAAGACTTGCTCATGGAAACTCTCTATATGGTAAGTAATTCGTATACAATATGTATATGTACATAACAAATATACATTTGGTTGACTTTTTCAAGACATGAGGCCTGATCATCGGATGCACAATCTGCATGCGATCTGAGGGCAGGTGGACGTAAAAACGGGTATCCTGCTTCACGATGACCTGAGACAGGCAAATCTTTGGCACGGTGTCTCACTCACATTGTCATACATCTAAACGGCGAGCAAGACAGGTTGGAGGCCATCGCTCTTAGGATGGAGGCCACAAGACCAGCAGGTACATGTAGGTGCCTTGCCTCCCATTCGGGAGCCAACGAGTAGCGAAGCGCGAACCTGAGAAGTCAGAGGTGCAACATCAGGTCCCACAGCATGCAATGTACATACATGTGTGTATTAGAATATGGTGGGGTATTGTTTGCTGCACCACAAACATCCAGAGCCTATTTAACCCTGGTACCTTTTGCACAAACTGGCTTTATTGCTTTTCATCCACTATTAAAATATGAAGAGTCTCTATGGTAAGGCACCATAATCAACCAAAGTAGGAATGCACGTGTGATCTGGCATCAAGGCTGCAACTCTGTGAGGCTGTGATCTGTGAACTTGCAGTGATCGGAGAACGGCTGTCAGCCGTTTGAATAGCAACTGAGGATTCTAGGTCTCCCTGCAAGGAATACCAGTAAAGGTCTGGGTTGGCACGAATTCCAAGTTGCGCTGCCATGTCTTTCACCATCTTCGGGGTAATCTGGCACCTCACAACAACAGGTTCCAAGCATTTTGAGTCCATGTTTCGGTGGCGCCACACAAAAGGCATCTAGCTACCTTTCCAATTCACAACGGCTGATTCTGGCCAGCTGTGTCTGAGGTTCCTCACTGTTTCATGTTGTCCGGAATGCCCCGCGTGCGCAGGAAAACGCGCATGGCACTCAAGCCCTTCAGCTTGAACTGCCTGCAGTTTGATGTGTTGAGAAAGGCGCCAACGGGTAACTCCTTCACTGAAGGACGAAAGAAAGCACTGACTATATAGCAAGACAGGAACTTCAAGAGAGTTGACATGCTCAACATATGGCAACTGCATGGGGCAAGACAAAAACGCAAAGCAAAGGATCAAGGTTCAGAACTACAGCGCATCAAACGCCACACTTTCATCTGAACAACTTGCGTTCGGGGCTTGCAGGGGTCTGGGTGAGTGACAGCACACAGAGGGTGACTTGCGAACCAAAATGGGTGACTGAGAGGTCTTTGAAACGCAGGCTCGGAGCACTCGCAAACTCTCGGACTGATTCTGGCTTGAACTGCATACAAGCTGAAAACAATATAATGAAAAAAGAATGGTGTAGTTCATTGTTTACATTCACAGACACAAACTCGCAAACATGCACGAAAAGGGCAAGTCAACATGCAGCATTCTTCGCCCTTGCTCCATACGGGGTGGCACCGTTGTACTCGCTCAAATCAGTACTTGAGAGGAGGGAGACACGAAAGGTAGGACAGCGGGAAGAGAAGAGAACGCGAGAGGCAGGAACAAAAATGCAATGTTCGACATGGTGATTTATCCCCTCGGAGGCGACCTTTCGTAAATATATGTTCATATGCACTTTAAATGTTCAAACATGTACTCTCGAAATGTTCAAAAAGATTCTTAAGAAAACAAACTTGCCCCATGGCTCAGATCATCGGTGAGCATTGAATCGGAACATCATAGGATTTGAACTATCCTGAAACCATAAGAGGCTCACGAAGACGCTCCCCAGGAGAGAATTGACGTACTTCACAAAACAAACTCTAGGTATGTATCCCCTCGGGGAACACCTTTCGTGATTAGAATTTCATATTCACTCTTTCTGAATGTTCAAGAGGGTTTCAACTATCCTGAAATCATGAGAGGCTCACGAAGACGTTCTCCAGGAGAGAACTGATTTTAGAGGGGGGGAGGGGGGGGGGGGGGGTTGTATTGAAAAATCAATTCGGGGGGGGGGGTCTGAATTGAGCGATCAATTATTAGACCCGGACGTCCCAACACTTGCTTCGCAAGACAAACTCAAGGTATCCCCTAAAGGGCTACCTTTCGTGATATAGCAGCTCATGCGATAACCAATGGTGCCGGCATCTGATGTCATGAAGGCATTTGCTTGGCATCCAAGCTTGATCTGGACATCAAGAACATCAGGACCTGAATTGCCTGGTCATGGCTGCAGATTTGGCCAAAGGTTACAGGTCCACTTGGGAGACGTGTGTTGCTATGCTCCAGAAGCCAGAACAATCAATACAATCTGTATACATAGTTAACAAAACACCGCGTCTGAGAAGTGTAAACCATGTCAAGTCCATGCCTTTAAAAGAAATCAATGCTTGATTTGTCTCTGAAATTCCCAGATTGACAGATCCTATGTCCCGCTCTGAGCCTTTCTGCTTTGCATTGATCTCTTCAGGCGAAGCACGAGTCTCTTCTTCTTCCCGAAGACCTTTCAAAAGCTTCAGAGGCGACAGAGTACTGGCTCTACCAAAGGTCAATTGATGAAGTCTTGGAAAAAAGTTCAAAAATTTAGGGAAAAAGAAAGACGTCGGATAACAAAGAGACAACTTGAAATTGAATAAAAGAAAAAACATAAGGTATAGTTTGCCAACAAACCTGCAGTATCAGTGCAGTATCAGACACTGATGAACGCAGAGACACTATATATACTGTGTATATACATTACAATGATATAGACTAATATAGACTATAGATATCAAAACAAGAATAGCCGTCTGCCCGCCATAGTCCAACATTTCATCTTTCCAGAGCGTTTTGGAGGCCTGAGATCCGATGTTGAAGGATCATGAAGCAATCAAAAGGGTGGGGTCCAGACCGCAAGCTTGTCACAAAATGCCACAAATGCAGGTCCGATGCAAAATGAACACATGAAAGCCCAGAAAATCATGAAAAATCATCGGAAAATCACTAGGTTTGAGGCCATGTCAGGGCTACGACCCAGAAACTCTGGCCCAGAACCCCATTGGCCACATAAACTCGTTTTCGGTTCATCCTGAGGTTGCTGCCCCATCTCCCTCCGCAGGTTTCTCTGCATCCTCGCGTGGAGCAGTGGGCAAATCAACACTGGTCTGCCCAATCGACTCTGCATGTGATACAGTAGAATGACCCGTATACTTGTGATCATCCAAGCAATGATGTCAGATGCTTCAGTCTATCAACCTTGGGCATCTGCGAGCAGCTACAAGTTGTCTTCGCTGCAAGTAGCACAAATTCCGTCATCCCATCCCGGCGCGTCCCATGTCATCCGATAAGCCTTGTAGCACAGTCCCCGGCTAACAATCATCTTCGGGCAAAAGCAACACACAAATGTCTTCATCCTCCCCCCCCCCTCTCTTTTTCTCTCTCTCTCTCTCTCTCTCTCTGTGTCACAACTAGTATCAAATAGTTTGGCTGCCTTTTCTGCTCTGTCGTGCAGAGGAACTGTTGGAGAATGTTGACTCCAATTAGAACTATAGCTGCTTGGATGTGTGTGTGTGTGAATTGATGTCTCATTGGTATGATCAAATCGCCTTACAAAATTGTGGATTTATAGTTTCATACACCTCCATTCCCTGCATTCCCGGCATTCCCAGCTGGGTGATCCTCTTCTTCCTCTTCTTCCAGGGTGTCCTTGTGGATGTCGATGTACCTTGTGATACCGATTATCACCGATTCTTCCTATTCTTCTTTCGGCAGCAGCTTTCAAGAAAGTCCACTAGCTCTCGTCTTTTGTATCCTCAAATGCGGCGTGGAGTCGACTTGAGTCTGACTTCCACCAACAAACTATCACTACAATGTACAACACTGCAGAATGTGACCTTGCAAAAAACAATTGGATGAATGATCTTTGCAGTCAGTCAACCTTCAACCTGCTACAGTCAAATTGTCGACTTCATCTTGAGAACAAAGGACATGTCGGCCACAAATGCAAAAAAAATGCAAACAAACGGAACCTCGAGTAGCTCGAGCATCATCTCTTTCGAGGGCGTTGGAACACTCGGCTCATGCCGCGCATTCCATTCGAAACATGGATTGGGAAGGGAGCCATTTGAGAATGACAGCCAAAGGTAGAACCAAGCGTCTGATCAACTGGCCTTGCAAATGGGTCGATTCCCAGGTGTCCGGGGCATCCTTTCCAGAATGCTATAAAATCAGCTTACGCAGTAGGCTGGGAAAAGCTCAGAGAGCACGATATGCCAGATATTCTCTGGATTCCAAAGGGAGCAGCTCTTGTCCTGTCCTATCTGACAAGCACGGCCACGCCCGGAGACAGACTGTTCTGAGTCTAGTTTGGACTAGTTCAACCAGAGCCTCCGATTCCACCAAAACAGCAGTGATTCACTTCAGGCTTTCAAAGAGCCCTGATGTAGCTATTCATGTCCCATGAGGTTGGATTATCCTGGATTGCTAGAAATGCCCTACTGAATAGGGCTCTGCTGCACCCTCCTAGAGCCTCTGCACGAGGAACATGTGATCAAAGAGAAGTCCATATGTCATGTCCAATCTAAATCCCCAAGCTTTGGGCGTTAAGAGTCTAAAGAATGTCAGCCATGCAAAGGTTAAAAAACCCTTATATACCTTTGCCTCCCACTCACTACTTGTATGGGCCTGGTAGCCAATCGCCAAAAGCAGTACTTCGACACAAACAGTCAACATCAAATCCAAAGAACCCAAGTTGGCTGACATCTCGTGGCCTTGTCGTGCACATGCGGTCCAAGAGCGTTTGCGTTGGGTTAGTGCGGAGGCTCTGCAACGGTGTGATTAGGCTGTCCAACAGTGTGATTGGGAGAAAACCCTATCACTGGAACCGACTGTATGCGATCCTCATCTCTCTTTAAATAGGATGAATGCATAGAAACAGCAGCGACCATCATCAATTGCTTGGCCGCATAATCACTGGCAGCCTTAGGAACAACATCCAAGAAATAGTTGCTTGGAAAAAGACCCATGGAGTGTCCAGGAGCACAGAAGCCACAAAAGCACACAGGTTGCAATCTAAACATTTTGCCTCTAGGTTTTGAACTCTAAACATCAAACATGTTCCTCTAGCAACACCCTTGTCGAAGTTCCATTTCTTGCCCAAAATGTCTCTTTTTGGGCGTACTGGAAGGTGTCTCAAACATGCAGATTGTTCTCATGTCTCCATTTTTCAGCTCCAGACTGTTGTCGGACAATCTCGTTTTCGGAGCCCTGGGAGCAAAGGCGTGCGAAATACAAAGGAATCGGGGCCATGTGTTTGGTGTCAAGTTCCAGCCTCTTTGAAAGCGTCTGGTCCCGAGCATTGCTCGCTCGAGATGCCTCAGTGTATTTGTCCCATCAAGACACTCTTTCTTTCCACTACGCTGTGAGCACTGCAGCCTTTTGGGCGATGTAGCCACGGCGGTCGCACTCGGCGATTCTCCACGCCAGGCGACCCCAGCTATTATTTCCTTTGATCTTTCATCTCCTGCGCATAACCTTTACAAGGGTCTTCGACCTTCTCCGGCCTTCTCCGGATCAAAGCTCGCACTCGGAGATTCTCCACGCCAAGCGAATCAAGCGAATCAACGACCTACGGTCTGGACAGGTCGTGTGTGGAAAGGTCACCCTCGGCGATTCTTCGCGCGAGAGCTCCTCATTTGTGTTTACAAAAAAGCTATTGGACCGATTCTGCGGCGTTCCAATCGGTCAGTGTCCCTACTCACACGTCTCGTGTGCTCCAAGACACTCTCTCTTTCCACTACGCTGTGAGCACTGCAGCCTTTTGGACGATGTAGCCATGGCGGTAGGCCGCCTTCCGCCATGGTGGTGTCCGGCCATAGTCCAGCTGTTCGATTGCGCTCACAGTCGTTGGGAAATTAGGTAGGCCTTCAACTGCGCGATCTTGTTTGGTCGAGATCTGAACATCTGGCGCCACCGCGCCAGGTCACGCCCCCAAAGGTATCCTTGAATGTCCTGGGATGGCTGACGTCCCAAGAGCGTCACCACACGCGTCGTCCTTTGAACCGACATGGGTCGTCTCTGTACCGATCGAGCTGACGTCTGGTGTATAAACAAACCCAACCCCTTGCCTCAGGGGAAGTTTGGTGTCCGATCAGTTGGGATCTCAAGGATCCTCATGCGCTCAACCTTAGTCTGGCGGGTTCGAGCTGGCGTCCGGCGTGTCAGAAGCCGAGAGCTTGCCTCCATGATAAAAAAATCCGGAGGTCATCCTCGGATTCCAGCGATTGCACACAAGTCAGGAGTGTCGCCAGGGTGATCGAGATGTGTCTCTTGAGGCCGCGCTGACGCGCAGCTTGGCACTCGCGATCGTCTTGATGGTGTCCACCCTCCTCGGATGTCACTCGAAGGCACTGGCTGCACCCATCGCCCTCTCCAAGCTGCCACCGGCAGAGGGGTTCTCCTTCGACAGGTCCACTCGCTGATGCGGGTCCGGGCGCGATGGCCGCCCATACGCGGCACAGATCCATCGACCCATTGACACAGGCAAGGCTGGCGACTACTCGCCGTTTCGGCTCAGGATAGGCCGCCCAGCTTCATGCGCCACGCACATCGAGGGCTCGACATCCGTGGTGGGAATACTGCGCGTTCACAAGGCCCAGCCACGTGTCTGCTTGAGCCATGACCTTGCAGTGACTCACGTCGGGTCACGAGTGGTGTCAGTGTCACCGGCGGTGATGTGTGGGGGTCTGCAGAGCACCGAAACGGACTGTCGACACCAAGGCACCTTAGCTAAGTTCCCGGCGGCCCTCCGGGTCGAAGGAGACACGAGTTCGACTGCGGGTCGAAGGAGACACGGGTTCGACTGCGGGCTTTTCAACTTCTCGGCGACTCTGAGGTCGCTCCATTCGGTTTGTGGACTGGAGTGGTCGAATGTCTCAGGGAAAAAGCTAGGGATCCAACTAGGTTCGGGCTATCCAAGTCACGGAGAGGCTACGGCCGAGGTCCTCCGCACGAGCTCGACGTCCAGCGCGGGCGTGCCAAGTCACGGAGGCTCGGAACCAAGGCGCCGCCTCGTTTCTTCGAGGTCAATCTCGTCCTGAGTCGCGTGGAGCGCCAGGCCCACTGCCCCTACTGCGCACTCCCTACGCAAGATGGTGGCGCTTCCAAGGAGGTGGGTATTGTCCACGTAGGCGGAGAGGATCGCCAGCAGGGTCTCCACGCGCCATGAGTGGGTCAACCTGGCTCGGCCAGGCGGCCAATGTTCCAGCGGCGGTCGCTTCAAAGATGGAACCGATCCACGGTCTTGGTGAGGCGCAGATCCGCCGCGGTCGTCTCAGCAGTGGTCTCCTCAGCCAGGGTGATGGTTGCCATCATGATTGGCAGGCTCCCGTGCGTCCGATGATCGATGTACTGGACGCGGCTCACGTCCCACATGGAGACATACAGCTCTCGAAGGCGCACCCAGTCGTCAGGGTGAGCCCTGCACCACGAGAGCAGCCACGCTCCATCTCCAGGGCCATGGCATCCAGATCATCGAGTGACATGGTGGATCACTTGGGCTTCAGGCCTGGACCGATTCTGCGGCGTTCCAATCGGTCAGTGTCCCTACTCACTACTCACACGTCTCGTGTGCTCCAAAACATCCATCCACAAAGACTCATTCTCATGGAAGAATTATAGGACTGGATAACCCCACATGTGAACAACTTCGAAAGATTGAGGCTGCAGGGGTAAAGTGCGGAAGAGTGAGCGTGGGGAAGAGACAGGCGAGACAGATATAAGGCGTGAGGGTCTCTGTGTGTACGTGAGGTGTGCGTTTGTGTGTATGCGCTTGTTCGTCAGTGTGTCAGTGTGTGGGTGGATGTATGCTGCTTGGCGCTTGTACTAAAGTTGTACTAGAAAGTCGCCAGTTCTCATCTTCCAGCTCCACTAAAGTTGTAATTACTACAAAGTCGCCAGTTCTCAGCTTCCAGCTCCACAGATTGCTCCGCGTACTAAACTACAGAGTCGCCAGTTCTCATATTCCAGCTCCACAGATGCTGCGTGCCTGGCACGAAATCTGCACATGGAGGTTCACAAAGTGCTGCGCCTGCCACGAAATCTGCGCCGGTGCCCAGCCGACGCCAGACGACGCCAGGGCGTACATCCGACCC